TTTAACCAAAACTTACCTTCCAGCCGGCACTGCTATTCGAATCGCCCTTGTCCTTGAAGTATGGCACATTCTGGACCATCCACTCGTAAATCTGGCTCAGAGTCAGTCGTTTGTCGGTGGCCGATCCAATGGCATGCGTGATGAGATCCGCATAGGATAGATTTCCCCATGCATTGCGACGCGATGAGTTTTTCTTGGCTGCATTCGCATTTTGTATAGCCTGCTGTGAGTCTGTTTTTTGGGTATTAAGAAAAATAAAACATTATTTTAATTGGGGGAGGAAAAGTGAAAGTGCACAGAGAAAAATTCAACTATTTACTTTTTAATTGATGTTAAATAAGGTGAATTTTACATTTATAAATTAAGTATAGAATTTATGTAGATTTCTTATGAACCTTAGTATGGGTTATAATCCCAAGTTATCTTTGTATATTAAAGAAATTTAAAAAAGGAGTCCGAATGGAAATCGGGTTCTTAGTAAGCCTATATGGCCCACAACAAACTAGTTGGCGAAAATGCAAGTTTCTACATCTAACTCAGGCGCCTTTTGCTTGTTTATCCTCTACTTTGTATGGGGTTTCTATGAAACATTTACGTATATGATCTCTGTGGGTGAGAACCTACCTCCTGGGGCCAACTGCTGATTGCTGGGCCTTTGTACTGTCCAACTCGTCGGCGGGCTCCACGAAGTTCTCGGGGCGCGGACAGGGCCATGTGTTGGATCGGGCTCGGGTCTGGGGCTCGAAGCCCACGTCCAGGGCAGGTCGCCCCCCAGCTGGTCCATGGCCAGCCCGTTGTCTGTGTGGGTCAACGTGGGCCAGTCCTGCGCGAAGCCGTCCATCATGGGGTAGAGTAGGTCGTTGTGCAGTTGCAGCTTTGCGGCTCTTCCAAGTTCTCCTCGCCAGCCCAAAAAAAATCGAAGCCTATTGGTGAGCTTCGCGATCAGTTGTTTCCTAAAAAAAGTGAAAATATTTAAGTTACATACTTTTTATTAAAATGTTTTTAAAAATATTTAAAAAAATTCTGTAAACATTACAGGCTTATCAAATTTATTAACATTTATTGTATACCATGTAATATTATGTTTTGGAAAATGTTCAATTTATTCTCAGTATTACTAATTTTGTAAAAAAGACAGAGAAAACTAAATGTTCATAATATCTATTTAATTTTTGACTATGATTAACCTTGAATTGAAATTACTATAGTATTCTCCTGAAATTTTGTCAAGTCATCTCATCTCTCTGTCAAGCATTTCGTTCAAAATTACATTTTGATTGTTTTCGTGCTTGAAAACGGGGAAAAAACGATTTCCAAATGATCTTGGATCGTTCAACTAATTGACAATCGATTTTACAATTGCCGATTAAATTAATCACATTTTAGGTTAGAGCTGATGCATATTACAATCACTTTCCTTCAAAAAAAAGACATAAATTATTTTTGATGTTCAATTAGCTAAAGATTTCCGGTTATGTCTATAAGCTGTTTAATAAAACGTTAGAAATATTATTCAGTTATTCTGAGTGGTTATAATAATTCGATTGTGCTTGATTTATTGCAAACGTTTTTATAGTTTTCAAGTTCTTAAGTTCTTGGCAAGAAAACCTCACACCACAATTGAATTAAGCGATAGCATTTTAAAAATTTATATAATTTTTGGTTGTTTATTTATTCTATGGAAATCTAAACTCATACCCCTAGAGAAAAAGCTCTTAGATGGAAGTAAGAGAGCGTTATCAGCAGAGTCAAGGAAAAGAGCGAATACGATAATGTATGTAGGTTATGATCTTGTTTAAAAGCCTCCATACATTTTCCTTGCATTCCAATGCTCCAGATTTTTGTTATTGTTGCTTAGAAATGGGAATCAATTAGTTTTAATAAAATCTATAAATGCCTTTATGACTAAATTTAGCACACAAATTGAATGGGGGGAGCAATGAAAATGATTTTCAATTAGAGCGGCGGCAACGAAAGTTGATAATTATTACCAAAACGCGGTTTTATATTATGAAAAGTGTGACAAATCCGGGGTAAATCTCTCTCTCTTTCAGTTAATCTGTTTGAATATATGTAAAGGTCTATTGACTCTGTCTGGAATGAGGGAACTGATAAGTCATTGAAGCCTAACGAGCATCGCACCAAGTTTGATGGCAATTGTCTGGTGCAAATCTACCCAAAAATAGGTATAAATATAAAAGATAGTTTAACAATTAGCCCTAGAATCCTAAAGGTAGGAACGTGAATAGCTATTTCAAGTTAAAATTTCTTTCACAAAGTCAAATGTTAATTTTTAATTATTCATAGAGATATTATTACCTGATAATAGCAAAAGTCTGATGCAATTTTAAATTTAAAATAAACAGACAAGTTATTTTTAAAACCTAATCAACACGCTTTATAATATTTTTTTAAATTTTAGACTCTCCTCAAAAGAGCGCCAAAAGCTCATTTTACTCTCTTCAACCTGAAATTGTAAACAAATTGAAAAGTGTGCGTAGCGCGTAACTGAATTAAAATTCAACTCACAAATACGCAGAAACCACAGCGAGTATCTGTGTGAGTGGATCGTACGAGGCATTTTATTCAGCTTTTTATACAACTTTTATTTTTTCAGTTCGCCAAAGAGAAAAATAAAGATTGGGAGAGTGAGAAAAAAAGGGGGAAAGAAAGAGAATTCAACATCGATAGCAAAGAACTACCTTGAGAACACGGAAGTTCATTCATTCGCTGCTACCTAAACATTTGCCTACCTGAGAGCATTCCCAAATTCCGAACGTCACCTCATTATTTTTGTGGTTCTAGGAAATTTTCAAAAACATCTCATGTGTTCTGCTGTTTTTATGTATTTAAATAACGAAATTATTTAGATAAGGTCGCGCGTCTCCGTTTGTCATTGCATAATATCTTCCCGGCGAAAGGTTTATGGCCGCAAATAATGGCAATTGCGAATGCGAATGAGTCGCACTCAAGTGCCCCCAGTGGAAAAGAAAAAAAAAACCCCAGGCGGCAAAACAACTAACCGAAACATTCCAACCTGACCTAAGCCACTGGCTACAACAAAAATCAAATCAAATATAATGAGGTTGTCAAAAAAGAAACCCAGAAATACACTCATACTGAGAAAGGAAACTAGTAGTAACTTTCAATCCAGACATGATCGACTCATATATTCGCTATATAAACACATAAATGTATCTGGAATTTTCGGGAGAGGCATTCCGAGTGGCCGCAAAGTTCATTGATTTGGGTTTGGGGTCACAACATCATCGCTTTCTCTTCCCTCCTCCCCCTTTCTCCACTTCAGAGTTTCATATTACCGATTTCAATACTTTTTGTTTTCTGTCCCGTTAAATTAAAAAGTTTATACTTGGTATAGATGGCAAAACATATAAAGAAAATTCCCTTGCCTATATTTCAAAAACTAATCTTTATCTTTCTTTTAGCATCTGTATTCCACTCAACTTTAATGCAAATTTCAATATTTTTGCTAGTTGATATTACTTAAAGCTCCTTTTTAAATGAAAAGACCAAAGATCCCCTTTTAAAGGGTACAGAGTATCTACTTAGTCCATAATGCATTGCTTTTCAAAATAGTGTAAAATTTTAATTGCCGCCTCTTCGTGCCGGCTGCCAACTATTTTGAGTAAATAAGCATTTGCATTTTGCACTTAAATTTAATCTATTTTTTTAATTTTAACCAAGAGAAATTGCGTCGCAAAGTCGGGAGTGAAACACTTAATAATATGCAATAACATTTAATAATATTCAAGCCCACGTCATTAAATGAAAATAACCAGAGAAAAAAAGCAAAACAAAAACACAAGAAAAATAGAAAAGCATAGAAAATGTAAACAATAACAAGACAATACGTCTCAGAAGAAAAAAAAATATAGCTCTACTCAATCTATAGCCCAATGCGATTTCCTTTTGATCTGCTGCGTCACAGCTGACTATATACATAAGTCGTTTGAGTGGTCGGGATTAAAGACAGGTTCTCGACAAACATATTTTTTATTACATCAGATTAGAGTTAATTTTGTTTTTTCTAAAGCCAGTGACGCAAATTTGCGTAGGTGTTTTTCTTTGATCCAAACGATATTAAAGGGGAGATCAATGGAACAAGGCTGTAGCTTGTTAGATTATGTTAATATAATACTAGCTAGATAACAAGATAATATACTAATGAAAAAACCAAACAACGCAAAAGGCTTATTATCACAGCGAAATTTATAGAGTGATTCAAAATCGCATTTGTTTGGCTCTTTCCTCAAACTGGGCAGATAGCATAAATCAGCCTCAAAGAACCCGGCGTGGGAGGTGGAAATTGGCTACGAAAATCTTCTGTATATTTTCAAATATTACACAATGGTTTCAGGAAATTCAGGGGGAGCGTACCCAAAAATTCCCTCGGCATTCCACGCTTTTTCAATGTCACGAACAAGCAATGTCAAAATTTCCGCTGGGGTGAAATCTTCAGGTGGTCCACTTTTTCAGGGGGTGTGACGATGGGACGCGCAACAAGTTGAGAAATTCTATAACTAGATATATGCCGATAAACGTGGGGGTCCTCAGGAAGATAGATATTTAGTACATATATATTTTTGGTCTATAATAATAGAGCCAAAAGTCAAACGAAAGCGAGTGCAGAAAACAAAAAACCGAAGCAAAAACAGATCTTTAAAAATAATAATAAAAAAGCAAAACAAAGGCAAAGCAAACTAAATAAAGACGGCAATAAAAAGATATAATAAAAAATTAAGGCAGAATCAGTACGAAGAAAGAAAGGAATGAAAAGGAAAAAAGAAATAAAGAAAGATCAACAGAGCGAACCAAACAAAAATAAACCCACACTTGTTACGTAATGCCTTTCAATAGTTCGCTCTCCTACTTTTCTCATGTGTTCCGTTTGATTCTATATGCGTATGAGTATTATTTCCCACTTCTAGAGGGTGTACAGAAAACAGTTCGACTATCAGCTAGTAGCGCCCTAAAATAATCCTAGCTGGGGCTAAAACATTGAACAGCTGTTCCGGATAGACTTGGCCTCGTAGATCAAATGATAATCACAGAATTCAGAGCTTCAGGGGCGTAGATTTGATGTGTTTCAGAGGGGTGGTACCATTTCACTTTTAATTATAAAAGTTACAGTACTAGGAATACGTACGCCACTCCATGAAAAATAGTATTTAAATGTATTATTTATAATATTACAGGTTTTAAGATCTAAATTACTACAAGTTTTGGTTATTGCTTTTATAATGGAAACAGTGGACAGGTAGTCAAATTACATTTACTTACATATCATAAAATCCATTTTAAATAGATAATCTATAACTTTCTTAAATTTTAAATATTTTTCCTGTCCTATTACGGTTTTCAGTCCTTATAACAATTCCAAGTGTTCTGGTTAAAATTTTTTACTTTCCTTTTAAATTTGTTGCAAGTCATTATAGACGAACCCACCTTTTCCTACGTCCCTGGGAATTCTGGGCTTATCAGTAGGAGCAGAGCTGTAAAGATCACAAAGCCGGCCTCAAAAGTGTCCGCCAGATGCTCTGTCCGCTGAAACCCTCGAGCGACTCCATGTGATTTTTTATGCATGAGACTAAACTGGACCGTAGTGCCCCTGAATCTCAGGTATGGGCAGTCCTCTCACCTCCCCGGTTCTCCGCAGTGTACCTGCCCCTCGCACATGACCGGGTTCAGCAATGTGGAAGTAAAAGAGATCTACTCCCCAGCACAACCCGTCAAACAGGATTATAAAGCAAAGTAAGTCAATGCGAGAAAAAGCCCGATGCTCGGCCCAAAAAAAAAAAGGAAAATAAAATATAAAAAAAACCGAAAACAGAGAAAATAAAAAGCAAGACTGACAGCTGGTCGTCGGTGTGGAGATATTCGTACGGAGAGCAACTGGTATGGTCTGCACCGATCTGGTCCGGTCTGCCCTGCCTAATGAGCCGACGTCGAGATGAAGACGACGACGACGACGACGACGACGACTACGACATCAATCCCATAGCCCCAGGTTCGGTTCCAGGCCCACGATCTCAAGTACCTCGCGACCCCATAATGATCATAATGACGATGACGAGGCCGCATCGAACTCACTTGTCGGCCATTCCGGTGTGCCGGGGTCTCTCTGAGTGTGTGCTTTGTCACCCTCCATAAAACCGAACGACCTTTGCTTCGAAAGTGAATTATACTCTGCAATATCAACTTCGTCATGGACTAACCTGCTGATAAAGCACTTCAACGTGAGAGCGGCGTGTTCGGCTTGTTAAGGGGACCTCTTTATATTTAATTGGATAGGAACTGTGCTTGAAATGGTACGGCTTTTATAACTTTAGGTTAAATCTTAAGTTTAGAAAAGTTTTGAGCATTGCCTTTGGATAATAAAAGTACGTAGGGCTTTAGAATTAAAGGGATTTTAAAATCAAAGTTTGCTTTGATGGGATAAACTACTGCATATTTAAGGTCTTGTTAGTGCTGGTTAATCTTCCGGTTAACGTTTCTTTTAATATTGCTTTACCAAAGTATGCCAGCTGTATCTTGAAAACTGTTTTTTAATAATATAGTATGATTTAACTTGCTTTTAATATCATAAATTTGGTGGTAAACTAACACTAGAATGTTATGTACTTTACACTTAAATTAAGTAAAACATTGGAAATATTAAACTTAAGATATTTGTAAGCCAGACATTTTTAAAGTTTACTGGAAGTGTTTATTCTAAAAGAATTTTTTCCTTGTTGTCTATTGTTATACTTTCCCTTTCTTAGTTAGAATCTTCACTTTGAAGACTTTCAGCACTGCCAGTCAACCAGTGAACTCTCTTTAATACTCCTAATTCCCTTTTGACACTTTGGGCTGTCGCTTTGCCCCGAGTGCGTTCTTATCACGCAAACCAAAAGATAAAGGAGCGATAAAGAGCTGGAGCGAAAGCAATGCACATCACATTTATGCATTCCCCGCCAGAGCAACTGTTGCCATGTGGAGCTCTTCCCGAACCACTCGCTTGCCACTGTCTCTATCCATATACGTACATATCTCTTTCTCGCTGTGGCGGGAGCTTATCGCAACCCTCTCCAATTTCCCAGACCTCAAAAGACCCCACCCCCAGCGTAACCCCTTGACAATGCCAAGCATAAACCTTGGACAACAAATCTTTTTTTGCGACACTTTCAATCTGCGCTCTTTCTCACATTATTTGTATTTAACTTTATTTTTTGCTTCTTGTATACCATTTTAAGTCAGTTTATGATGGTTGGGAAATGGTCTATGCAGGACTAGACCATTCTTATAACTATAATATCCCAAGAATTTTAAGAATATTACATTTTCACTTAAATATCCTGGGTATTCATAATTCTTCGGTACTTTAACTAGACTTTCCCAACTACTTTGTATGATTTCATTTTACTTTTCCATTAGAAAAATGCACAAGGAGGTGTCAGTCATTGGATTCTGGTTTTTCTACGCTGTTAATATTTAATAATTTATTAAGTCAATTATCGCGGAAGCTTATTCAAATAAAAGCTTATTGGAAGTGCAGTTATCTGGCGGCACGTGGATCTGCGAGAGAATCACGCGCTACTAGGCCGACATAGAGAAGTAGAGAAGTATATATTCTCTATATAGAGAAGGAGAGGCCCGACCAGGCAATGTGCAATAGTTCAGAATGCAGCGAATGCGAATGCAAATGAAGGCAAAAGCCCCGTGCAATGTTTATAGAATTCATTACAATAATTAAAGAGCAAACGATTCGATTCGATTCGATGCGAATCGATGGATGGAGAAGTCACCCAAGAACGTAGAGCCCCCAAACGGCGATCTTCGACTGACAGCTGAGACAACTGACGCATGGAAAACTTCGATGCGATCATCTGACTTCATCATCCGCAATGCAAACGCAATCTATTTGCATTACTAACGTTTTGGGGTCAACGGGTAAATCAAACTAAATTTGTTTAGCATTAAAGGAATGTTAAATAATCTATTCCAAGAAATGATATGGATCTATTGAATGTTAAGATACTTTAATTATTTTGATAGTAGCTACTTTAGATTCTGTTTGAAATACATACTAAAAGCAATTCCAAATAATGCGTAAATATCTATTCTTGAACCATTCACTACTCATAATTACTCCCAAATCCACTATCATTTGGACAGTACAGCCTCTTCTCCAAAATTTACTCCCTTTATTAATTACTTCCCGATTTCTTCGCTTCAATTACAGCTTTTTCGACAAACTTTTGCACACTTTCTTGTTATCACCTGGCACGTTCCACCAATGTGACTAGCAAACACTCAAGATATGATAAAAGCCACAATCACATGCGAATATTAATACATATATGTATACTTTTTGGGCCATCAGCTGCTGTACCTTGGAATATAGCAGATAGATAAAAGCCTTATCTAGGACTGAAAACGTGAAAAAAGTCTTTTCGACAACCGGCCAACCGAGTGCCGAATCAACCCATTTATGAAAATTAAACCTAATCACATTTCAATGTCAATACTGATGTCAAAAATAAGGTTGAAAATTATTTTAAAAACATAGATATAGGTCTGGTGAGTGAGGTGCGTACATATACATATGAATCTCGGGCAAAATAGCAATAAAATCGGCCTTCGTTAGTCGAATACGAAAATCGGGGGAGCAAACACAGAAAGAAATGAGGAGCGACAGCGGGCTCTACACAAACCACACACGCTTCAACTTCTGCTATCAGTGTGGCGCTGGGTTCTATTTTTAGAGCCATTATCAGCAGTGCTCTAATTAAGATCTCCACAGCCCACTCTCGAGCAAAGTAACACACCAAAACGGACTAATCAAAGCCCACACGAACCGAAAGATCATCTATTGAAAGCACTGGAGCGCGGAACGTGACCGAGCTTTATGGTTCTGGTGTTTTGATCTTGAAAGTGAAACGATTGTGAATTACTGGGACACTAAGGATTCCGCTCTATAATCACCTATGTATGTAGTGTTCAAATTTGGAATAGATTAGTATTCCCTCGAAAATATTACTGGGGTAAATCCATGTATTCAAACTATAAGAACTAACTGAGGTTGGTACAACCACATTAATCCATGTCAAACCTTATTGTAGGGTGGTTAAAAGTAGGTTTGAAAAGTTTAGATATTAAAACCTACTTCTAGTTTAACATGTGAGCAAGAAAAAGTTCTTAAATGGGTCCATAAGTAGAACTAAGTTTATTTTTAATAGAGCCTTAATAAATTTCATTTTGAACTACTGACAGTGGTAAAATTTAACGAAACTTACTTATAGTTCTATTAAAAAAATATTTTTTTATAATTTTCAAGTTTGGAGGAGAACAGAACCAACATGATAGTACAGTTTTAATTTTGGTTCCACAGCTCGGATAGTTTTTAAGTCTTCATTTAGTGTTTAAAAGTTTATATTTATAACAACGATTTTCATTTTTAAACCGACTAAACTTTCGAGTAATTTCTTGTGGCATAAAATTTGGAAAAAAGAATTGAAACTAAGACTAGAGATCCATTTAAAAAGCAGACAAACCCGAAAGACAATGTTTCATTGTTCAAGTAAACCTATTGATAATTGTTATTAATATTTACCCGCCAAAAGTTAGCAATGGGAAATCGTTGCTCCTTGTTGACTGCGATTTAAGAATTTGTTGATTTTGCCGGTGGAATTTGTTGATCGCCAATTCTTGTTGTTATTGCTGTTAACTAACACTGTTTTACTTATTTTCCTTGTTATTTTGCACTTGTTTTGTTTGTGGGTATGTTGTTGTTTTGAGCAAAACTTGTGTGGGTTTCTTGATTTTGTAGTGTGATTATTTAAATATATTTTTTAGATTGCTGCTCACACACACACACTCATAGACTGGGAGGGATTACAAAATATGCTGTTGTTGTTGGGCGGCGGTTTTTTTTTTTTGCTTAAGCTGGAGACGATTGTAAAAACGTTAAATTAGAATATATATATAACAACAATAAAAATAAACAAATACAAAAAGAGCGCGAAGAGAGGGGCGCGAATCAAGAGAGTGATGCTTAGCTGTGTGTGTGTGCCGAAGAGAGTGGAGAGCGAAACCGCGCGATCACGTCACGTCATCAATTCATGCCAATTGTGCGCACACACAACACTTAATTGGAATTCGTATGAGAATTCAATGAAAACCGAGCGGCGCAGTCGAAAAGTTGTTTAAAGTTCAAATGGGTAAAAAATTTTAATATAAACACGTTTCGGAGCTTACTCCAATTCGCTTATTCGGCTAGTGGTGTAGTAGTAGTGTGCGTAAATGGTATATAGCCGAGCACATATGTATTCGTATTCATATGTATGTATGTATGTACAACGTGACTGCGACGAAGATCATCCAAGCATCGCTATAAGTCTATATAATACGTTTTTCAGCTTTCCTCTTGTGTTTTATATAGCGAATATACGAAAATCGTACGAACGCGTTCTTTCTACGTTTTAGTTTTGAGTTCCGCACATATTCACATGTTTTGTTATCGAAACATTTTTGTTTTCACTTTTTTTTTCGGGGTTTTTTGCGTTTTAGAAATAAGGTTTTTTGGGTCTAACGTTTTTCGGGGTTTGGCAGATCACTGGTTTTGGATTTTGTGGGTTCTCTTTGGCACAGCTTAGTGCTGAAAAGGAAAACGATGAACGACCTCGTGGCTTTTAACCGCAAGCGAAAAAACACAGACTGCTCGTTAACTGCTTTCTAGTTGGATTGGATGCGAACTGACAACTGATTCGCCGTCGCCGTCGCCTTCGTAAAAGCGTTCGTTTCGGCGGCGCAAAAAGAAAAAGGCGGTCTGCCTGTGTGTGTGTGTGTGTTTGCCGACTCCCAAAGAGAGAGAGAGCGAGCTTGCTCTTGGGTTCCAATTGGAATCCACTCGGGGGAGAAGACTTTGTGACACAGTTGGGGACAAAAAATTAGTGGGTTAATTTATTCAACAAATTCTTCTTCAATAATGCTATATTTAACAGAAAAAATTCCAAAAATAATTATATAAAATAATAATTTTAATAAACATACTTTTGTATCAATAATATATGTCCACACCTAATAGTTAATTTTTCATGGCAGTAATTTTCACACTATTGATGCAAAATTCTAAAAAAAAAAAATTGCGAAGGCCGTCAAAAAATATTCGTTTTGTAAAATTTCAACATTAAATTATCAACATTTAACATGGACATTTTTTTAGACAGCTTGGATCATTAATTTTAATTTAATAATATATTATAATCTTTCTTACCAAAGTAAAACGAACACAATAGAGAATGTTCTGATCTCATCTCAATAAAATTTTCTAGCCCTTTCAGGCGAATCGTAATGGATTTTAGAACTTGCAAAACGGCGGACTTGCAAAAATTGTAAAGGTTAGAATCTACCGGGTTTTGAGGTGCAACCACGAACTAATTAATACCAAATCTAATATCCATTTAATTTAAATTCTTATGATGCAATTATGAAGATTAAGCATCAACGAATTTGATAAACATATCATTTGAATATAAAGAAACCACGAAGTATTTTTAAACAATTAAGTATCTTGCTGGCGGATTTAAAATCCAAATGCATAGAGGAAGGTTTTTGTGATAATTTTTCAGAAGTTAACAGAGTAACAACAGAGGGCAATCCGAATCCGTGTGATTCTTTTGGAAGCATATATTAGAACAGGGCGAATCATTTTATTTTTTGTATCTTGTGGGCTTTTGGATCTAAAATTTGTATCTAATAGATCATTTTGTTTTTTAGGAAAGATACATTTTTCATATCTTTTTTGAGGGTACGCTAAACCCAAAAGCGGGAATCTTCAATTTAAAACCAAATACTGGTTTTAAGTAAAGCAAAAATTATAATTCAATAAACATTTTAAATAGCTTGGGATATTATTTTAATAAATAATAGAAAGAGGTATTAATATATAAAAGAAAATTAATTTATTGAACTATTTAAAGGTATTATTTTAATAAATAAGAGAAGTAGACATTAATATAAAATAGAAAATTAAAATATTGAACTATTTAAAGTTCAAAGTACATCTTTGGAAAAACTCAGCACACTTTTAATGCTTATTTACCAAGAAATTATTATGATTTCAAAACATTTTTTCCAAACTGCAGTGAAACATCAAATGCATCATACATTCCCCAGAATTATAAGCACACTAAGGGGGATGATAAATTTCATGATTATTTTTCCCAAATAAAAACATTTTCTTGTGCAATTTCTACGGTCTTGCCCGCTTCTGTGCTCGCACAATATCAATAAATAAAAGCCATAGTTTACCTATTTTATACATTTGGAATTTAAATTGTTTCTTTTCATTTCGGTCGCGCTGCTCTGAACTCGAAATTCTGAGAGATTGGGGAAAAGGGGGCGGCGAGCGGGCAGGGTGGGTGGTGAATGGGTGTTTTGGGTGGGGTGGTCGGGCGGGCGGTATTGCTGATAAGGCAGCTGTTATCTCGCGATTGCCCGCTCTTTCTCTCTCTCTCTCTCCGTATATTACTCCCTCTCTTTCTTGCGTTCATTGTCTCGTGATGTGATGGAAAATTTCCCGAAATTGCATTCTACTGATAATGCCAGCAATGCACAATTGTGCATATGGAATATGGATTCAAAAAATACCCCGCATCTCTGATGGTATGCGAGCTTTTTGGGAGCATGTATTTTATTACCAAAGTCCCCGCGCCCCAACCCCAAAAATAAACCCCTCCCGGTACCAGTTTTATATTTTCTGTTTTCGCCTAGACCCGATATCTGTATATATGTACATACGTTCACGTCCATGCGAGTGTGTATCGGTGTTTTTTTAATGTGCCTGCCACATAAATTCCGCAACATTACACGGCTAATGAAGTCTAGACGCCTAGAGGCCGGGCCCCAGCAGTTTATGGATCGTCCAAACTTTAAGTCCGATCGCATCGTTTCGAAGGCGGATTAGAAGACGATGTCCCATTGGAGGAAATTGTGGGAATTTAAGCTGTATCTCTGTGAGTATAGGGTCCTGAAATAAAATATTCATCTTTTAATTGGGTTATGTTTCGTTACTAAAACATTTTACCTTTAAGATATATATAGTTAAATATATTTGACTTCTGCGGTTAAGAAAAATGTTTAAAATAATATTACAAATTGATAAAAGAATTGTAACATCTCAGTTTCTAACATTTATTTTTAGAAATAACCAAAAGCTTCTGTACATAAAAATTCAAACGAAAAATGATTATAACTTCAACTACTTTAATCCGTCAACGCTTTTAGAATAGGCCCCAAAGTCTAATTGTCTACAAACTCTCAAGAAACAATAAAAATTCTGTTTGTATACATAGGGATTTTGGAATGCGAGAATAACAAGAAGATAAGACAGGGAATAGTTATATTTTACAATGTTATGAAGATGGCTTAAGTTTGATAAGTGACTCGTTGGTATAGGTAAGTTCCATCTGGGACTGGTTTATAAATCACCCCCAATATAAAAGTCGTGTAAATGATGTGTTAACTGGTCTTGCAAATTAATTGTAATGCTCACCACAAATTTATTCATTGAAGTGATCAGATAAAAGCCAATTAGAACCACTCGATCAGTGTCTCAATAGGCCGCCCACTCCTCAAAAATTCCATCTAAATTACACAAACGTTTCAACTATCGCCAGCCAACACTTGACCATAATTGCGAGTTCCAAAAAAAAAGACTGGAATAAAAGCGTTTCATTTGCGTTGGCGCGTGGCGAATGGTAAATGGTAAACTGTCGTCGCCGTCTCGTAATCACATCCAAATTCGACAAACTGGACACGCAAGGCACTAACTCAGGTTTCAAACTGCGCGCCAAATCTCGACCGAAGCTTTTCAGAGCCAGAGTGACAGAAATGAAGGAGGTTCCTACAACAACTCCCTCTCTGATATTTGGATACTTGAGTTTTAACAATCTCAAAATGCCCAGAAGCCTTTAAAACTTTTTAAAACAAGAAAATGTGGTTCATTTTTGAGAACCACTGTTTAGGTTCGATTTTATAGATCCTTTGTTAAAGGTATTTCATTAAAATTTTGAAGAGTAACGCCCTCTCTGATTTTCGGTTACTTGAGTTTCTCTGATCTCAAAATTCCTAAAAGCTTTTAAAACTATGTAAAACAAGAAAATGTTTTCCATTTTTGAGAACCACTCTATAAGTACACTTTTTAAAAATCCTTTAGTAAAGATGGTTCATTTAAATTTCAAGAATTTTAATATGATTATCTACTTATTTAAAATAAAGCACTTACTTTAATAAAGTAAAATCGGGGAATATTTTAACGAATTAATTTAATTAGATTTTATGAAATAGTTAGTAAACTCAAAAATAAGTAAAGCTTATCCTAAAAATTACTCTTGCGTTAGAGGCTGTTAAAATCACGTATTCGCCCAGATGTACAGCTCAATTTAATGATGAAAAAATGTAGAACTTTACCTATATTATCATTAAATTATATACTCATTTCTCTAAAAACAATTACATTTATCTGAAGAGTACTTGTTAAATCGTGTGACAAATTCATAAATGCCACCCTCTTCTCAGGCATTAACACTAGGCGATGGAAGCTAAGCCGATCCGAAGTAAAATCAAGCGATCCAAATCGAGTCAATCCGATCCGAGTGGCTCTACTCACGCTTGGCCTTCAAAAAATTATAATTTCTGTTTTAATGTCTCGACTGTGTTGGTATGCGGTATAGATCGAAGGGGTTATAGCGGGGGTGGTATATTATAGCGGTGGCTGGTCTCAAACTTGGGCTCCAGTTGACTCGCCCGATGTTTGTTTACCAGCCAGACTTTGGTAATGTGTGTGTGTTTCGTTTGGAAATTTGAATACTGTTACTAACAATTTGTTAACTTAAGAATTTGTAGAGAGATGGTGCGAGGGAGTACGAAACACGATTGTTTTCCTAACTTGTTTGCATCGATGGTAGAAATGGGGATTCCTAGCCGAAACCATTCGGCTGTAGAGAACTCGAACTAGAAAATAAAAAAATAGGGTCTAAATATAACCATCTGATATTATGTGTTGAATATTATGAATATTCACATCAGTGGCTCCCTTAATTGGGTTCTTAGTGTAATAACTTTATTATAGAACCTATAAAATATGAACCAGTTGAATGATTTCTGAAGCACTGTTAATAATTCAACAATTCTACAAGATAAAAATCAAAGCTATGATATAATAATGACAAGAGTTCAAAATCTTTTTAAAAGATCAACAGAAAATAGGGTTTTGTTATTATTGTTCTTTGAAATATAGTGTAATTACTTGAAATAGATTACGAACTGTGTCACCTTGTTCTTACTTTTTTGGCCGACCCCTTTCTTTATCACCATATCGTATCACCCTCTATTAAAGCATTGCGAAATGGTGACTTAATACTGGAAACTTCCCAATAATCGCTTGATCAACTGTGGCCGAAACGGTATTTGTGTGCTACTGCCTTCGGTTGAAACAAGATTTTGTGACGTTGGTGTTGCTGTCGAAGTCGCATGTTGATGTTGATGGGCGCTATCAAGACTTTAAAAAAGAGACTCTCCACCAACACACTGGCAGGCGGAATTATGCTTATATGAGCATGTGTTTGTCAAAAGCGAGCCCCCTAATGTGGCCACATGGAATTCTCCAGCAGAGGCGCAGCCAGGATGTGAATACAATAGGGATGATATAACCTCCCCTGTTTTCATAACATTTTTAAATAAATCTCTAAAATTATTATT